GGAGCAGAACAGGCAGACCGACGAAGTACACTGCTGAGGGGAGCAGCGGGCGGGTCAGGAGAGGTCTGCTGAGCCATGTGGGTCAGGTCCCTGGTCGGGGATGGAACTCGTGCCAAAGCGGCTGCTATGGCTGGCTTCATAGTACTGGGCTTTAAGCTGTTATGCCACCAGGGTGGGCCCCATGAGGGTCTTTTTTTTAATCCAAAAGAGTGATTGGTTTCTCAATTCATCTGTGATCTTCAGGAGAGTTATCAATGTCCAGAATACTTAAAGAACTACTACAACAGTAATTACAAAGATGTGTAAAAGACTTCAGCAGTTTACAAAGCATATACAGGAATAGCCAATGAACACATTGAAGTTTCCTTAACATCTTTAATCATGAAAGAAATGCATATGAAGACCCTTTTATCCAACTGTGCTATCTGGAGTGCATTTCATCCACTGCTGTGTGCTGTTTATCTCTCTTCTCTCTCTCTCCAGCAATGGTAAGATAGGTAATATTTCCTCAGGGAAAAGAAATTTGTGGCTTGTTTTACAAAAATATTGGAGAGGTGGGTGACAAAACAGTTGCTACTGGCAGCTTTCATATAGGCAACATCAAAAGAACCAGGTGTCTCTCTTGTTGGTGATCACCCTTGTTTTCCCCAGGTTAGGACCTCGGTTACTATCGACATGTTACCAGTGTCAAACTTGATGAAATCTGCAATCTCACCAGTTTCCAAATCAATCTATGGGGGTGGGTAGAGCAGATGTACAGGCTCCACCTGTCACCAGCTGGAAATTCCTTTGGTGTCCCAAAGACCTTTGCCACTATGCACATCTTGTACTCAGCCTTATCAGGTGTAATGCTACCTTTGGTAGTGTTACAGGGTAGCCCAGAGTGGACTGGGCCACCCGTCTGTGGGGCCTCACCTGCGCGCTCAAAATTCAGTTACACTGCAGGTACACACAAAAGGGTCAATAATGAGTTTACTTACAAAAGGCGAAAGGAATAGGGAAACCCAGGGAAAGAGAGCAGGATACAAAGTAACTGGAATACCTTACGGCTAGGCTGACTGAACACAGAGTCACGTGGTCCAGAGAGCCGCTACCCGAGCCAGAAAGCGTGAGATGCAATCATGCCCTGTTTATCCCCCAAATGTCCCAGAATTCCTGCTAACTCCGCCCTTGGGTCCTCACAGTTCTCTCCCTGGTACTGCTGGGAGTTGTAGTTTCCAATCACTGGAGTAGTGTGTAGGGTCCAGAAAGCTGCAGTAGTGTGTGGAGTCCATAAGACTCTACAGAGTTCCTTTAGGACATCCTTCCCCTTAACAGTATCATGGGTCAGACAGAAATCCTTTCCAGTCTCATCAGTGCTGTTGACGTCCCTAAAACCACCAGGCTGGTTCTATCAGTGTGGCTCTTAGCCATCAACTTGATGATACAGATTGTCACATCATTTCCTGTTAGAACATTCCTCAGTCTGTTCATTAGGAAATGATGGGAGGAAAAATAATGGGGGTGACCTGAAGAGGGTGGAAAAGACAAGAAAAGTTCACCCTTAAGAGTTTTCAGTGCTGTGACACCTTCATATTAGCTCTGTGAAACCTGTGTTGGGAACTCTGAGAGAATTTTGTGTGATTTATTCATTTATTTGTGTATTGTATAAATTTGTTGGAATTTATTAAAGCTGCAACAGAAGGTGAATACAGTTGTAGAGATGTCAACTTCAGCCCTTTACTGAGAAAAGGTGAATAATGCTTTGATGCTGCTTTCGACTTCTTCATTCTCCAGCGCCCGCTCCCAACTTCATGCCAGATTGAGGAGTTACTTGTGATGATTTCCACTACTGTCATCTGATAGTTTGTCAGTTTGTTTTTGCTGTGGTTTTCACCTCTCAGGTTTATTCTCCATCCCTTTGCCTTTTTATTCTTTCATCAGTTGTGATTTTGGAGAGATACGCATTGAGTAGACATGGTTGTCTGATATTTGGAAAAGTGATTTACTAATGTTTAAAGCTCAAACTGATAAATTATAGAATGTGAAAGGCAATCTGTAGGCACAAATAAGCAAGACTGGAAACAGGTTTGATCTCATGCTGCTAGAAACAATCACAATCCAGGGAAAGAGGCTTTCTGATTTTAGAAAAAGGACCCTATTGGCTTGATGAAAAGCAACTTGTTTCTCTATTCTTCCTCTTCCTGAAATTGATCTCCTGGGGTGATGGATACTAGCCTCAGGTGTCTGCAAGCTTGGGGGAGAAAAAGCCTCTCTTGAAATGACACCTTGCTGTTTGAGCACAGTCTAGTCTACCCTTATTTTACAAGACTCCACCTTCACCAGGGTGAGAATGCTGGCTGCCTCTCTCTTTTAAATTTCATTACCAGCCTGTTTCCATATCTTGTTTTTCTCTCAAAGTTTCTTTTAGCTCTGTTTTGCAGGTGGCACTTCTAGGATTTCAGGTTAATGCAGATTTCTTTCTCCTCTGGCCTTAGTTCTGTCAAAAATTATTTGCATGTGTGTGTGTATATAAATTTTATTTTAGCATATATATAGTTTACATCATTTTTCATTTTGTACAATCATGCTTTCTCTCAGGTGTGCCCTTTTAAGATTCCTATCACCAATTCATCTGTGCGCCATCACCACAGTCCCTTGTGTGAGAACACATTCCCTGACCTGTTTTGATCCCTCTCTCTCCCCCACCCCTGCAGAGTGTCTCTGATTAATAGTTGCTTGTTTGCTTATGTATATTTTGCAGTGTTTACAGTCTGCTCTGTCACTTTTAGTATGTCAGCATTCCCTTGCAGAAATGGTACCCAGAATGGGGTGAAGTATTCCCATCATGTCCTAAGCAGATGGCAGTGGGATTTTTTTTATCTGAATGTTATATTGTTAATCTAAAGTTACTGAATCTTCATAATTCTTCTTGAAGTGAACAAAGATAATATTACTTTATTTTCATAGACACGGCTTCTGTTCTTGGTTGTCATTTTGAACATCTGATGTTATTTTTTAATTTGAGAGAAGTGTCTCCACATCCTCTTACTCCCTCATCTCTGTGTGTAGAATCATCTCTGCGTAGAGAATGGATCCACAGCATTTACACAAAGTTTCCCATGGACTCCAAATCTGATCGACTTATTGTGTAAACAATTTCTCTTAATTGCTCCTCTATTTTGTAGGTTCCATGACACAAACTATGCAACCTCTGTCGTCAGACATGGTCCGGATGGAGGGGAATTGCTCTTAACTTATGTTATGACCTCCCTTTTTTGTATAACCGTAATATCAAAATATACTGAGCAACTTTCAGCTTATAATTGGATTGCCTCAGCCGCACAAAACCTGCCTGCCTTGACAAGCAAGCACTGCACCAGGGTGAAAGAATTCCCTGGAAGTCAAGTGACTTGACTACTGACTGATAAATAAAAGCAAAAGGGCTGTTTTTGCAAAGTCTCTCTCACTGCCAGATGGAGGATAACCCAAATCTTATCATTCTATTATCTCACCTAGCCTTCTATTCAGCTTCTAAAGAATTACTCAAACTTCCTATTGTTTGGCCTTTAGATGTGGAAA